GGGTTGCTCGACTAACTCAGGTACCGACCGACAGGAGGTCAGGTACCTGGTTAGTCTCCCCTTGGGAGGGAAGATATGTGACGAAAGTAGCCTCGTCACTAGTTCTAGGAGGAGCCTGTTGGCGAGCCTCCTATCCTATGACTATGGCCCCTGCAATAGACCTGGCTAAAATACTTTAAAAGGCTCTGTTCATGTGAAGTATGTACTTTTGAACTCCAGACAGAGAGACCGACCGTTAGCACTAATTCTCTGGAACTGTTTTGGGCATGGTCCACGATCACAGTCGGTCAAAAATAAGACTTCCAGGAAATTCCTGAACCCCTGAAATGATCTGGGTGATTTTTGGATATTTGGTCACTCAGATCAGGGCTATCAGGGGATGTAACATTTGTGGGGTTTTATGTATTTTTAGGGTACTTTTGGGGTGTTTTAAAAAAGTATGTTTTTTTCTGAGCTTGGAGATAATTGGATTAGAATTAGTACAGTTACTGATCCAATTATCTCTCAAGCAGAAGGGAGGGATTGTGTGCTATATGTGGGAGTGCCTTACATTGTATATGTGTTATTATTGGTTTGTAAGTTTGTGTCCCTGTCCCCAACAAGGTCCATATGGGCGTACACCTTGCTTTAGGACTTGCATAAAAGGTCAGTGTGGCTCCCATTAAAGAGAAATTAGTTTACCCCTTTCTAACGGCACCCTAGGGCATAAATGGTTAAACCGCCGTTTAGTAGATCTTCCCTTCCAGAGACACAGGCACAGCTACTGCAGAACACCAATCCGACGAACAGGAAACCATATGAATGCTGTAAACAGCCGAATAGGAAAAGCCATACGAATAGGTTTACACTCCTAGCAGTCGAACTGGAACAGCATACCATAAATCCCCCCAAGAACGAGACAAAGCTCCGTGTTGAGGGTCAAGCAGTGAACAGACAGAGCTGTGGGTTTATTGTTCTTATATACACGTTAGTACCACCCACAGGGTTTTGGAACACAACCAATAAACCCACCGCTGCCACCAATTGTAGCGGACCGTTTTGCACAAAAGGGATAAAAACCGCTTAGACGATAATCCCCTTTTAAAGACAGGCACAGCTACTGTGGAATCACCAAAACTCACGAATTGAATACAAGTGAATGCTCCAAACTCCCTAACGGCATACAAGTGAATGCACCAAACTCCCGAACTGCATACAAGGGAATAAGGTAGCACTCCAAACTCCCGAACTGGAACCTCACGAATAGCTGCTAACAGACGAACAGGAAAAGCTCCCAAGCGGCTTACACTCCTGGCAATCAGTCCTTAGCAGCATACAGTAAATCCCACCAAGAACGAGACAAGGCTCAGTGTTGAGGGTCAAGCAGTGGACACTCCCACACAAAATCCTCCCCTCTGCCTGTGATACAATTACCTTACACAATGGGTAATGTAATTATAACAAGCAGAGAAATAAAATTTTTCCACATTATTCATAACTTGAAAAGTATGCATCACATTTTCAGAATCAGCATACTCCAAATACAAGCATACGTCAAAATCATACAAATTGGTCCAGTCGTTCAAAAGATAGATCGTAGTCCTTTGTGACCAAAGGAAGCATGGCTTTTCTGCCCAAAACCAGTTCCACAGTGTGGCAAACCTAGCCACTTGGGACTGCCTAAGATAGAATGGTTGTGCCTATTTTCTGTTGTGTACTGCGCGCCGGTATAGTGTGGCGTCTCCGGCTATGTTTAATTTATGCTGTACTGTGTATGTCTGTTCGAATCCTCCCCATTCGTTAGCATTGCTATTAAAACTGACTAAGTTGTATATTTTGAAGTAGAAAGGTAACGGTTTATGTCCTCGTAGTTTTCATTACTGTATGTTACAGCAGGGGCTGTTGGGAGGAGGACCTGGAAACGGTAGTCTCCCTCCAGTCCCCTCAACCAAAACCCCTGCTGCCCATCTTTGGAAACCCCTGTTGAGTGACCTGCTTTAAATATCAGTTATTTTTAATAAAGTGACAGTTGAGTGACCTGCTTTAAATATCAGTCTTTTTGAATAAAGTGGCAGTTGACTCTCAGACTGTGTTTCGTCTGGTTCTTGGGAGGATTTGGGAATATTGCCTGCTTCCAGCTTTGTACTTGGTTATTGCATTCTACCAGCAGAGATCCTGGGATTATAAAATTGCAGCTCCGCAACACACAGAGTCTTCTATCCTGGAGATAATTGTGAAGTAATCCAATTATCTCCAAGGACAGAGGCAAAACTCCATTGGTAG